AGAGCAATTTGTATGCTCTTAAGCAAAATTTTAAATAATTCAAATGAATAAAGAAACCAAAAAGACGGTCCTACCTATTTTCTCTTCCAATAAATGAACTGCCTTCTGCAACTGCGCTGCTCGCCAAGTTCACATCCGGACGCCTTTCAGAAGGATAATTATTTCCTTCAGCTACAGTGCTTGATGGTTTAGCATCCTCATATCTTCTTAAAGGGTATCCTTCCGCCTGCGTCACGCTGTTTGTTGTGGGTGCACTCTCTCCATATCTCCCAGGAAAATAGCCTTTAGACTCAATTGCACTCTTCGTAGGCACAACACCTCCAACTTTAGGTTCATCAGGAACGAAGTTGCTCAAAGGACGAACAAGCTCAAACTTTTCGGGCTGATATCCGTTGTTATCAACCACAATACTCGTAGGTTTCATGTCCTCGTATCTCCCAGACAAGTATCCCCTGGATTCGAAGACATTATTCATCATCTTCATATCCTCGTATTTTCTGGGAGTACTGCTGACTTCACCTAGGTGATTCATGGGATTGACACGGTCATACATTCGACCATAAGTCCGATCCTGCGTATCATTTTTGTTATTTAGAGTATTGGAAAGCTCATACCTTCCAGAAACATTCGGACCAGGCTCATCAATGTCATTCGCCATCTTCGCGTCTACATACCTCCCAGAAGCGTGCGCGCCCAAGTCAGCGGCACTATTCGTCGTTTTGAGTTCATCGTACGTTCCGGAGAGGTGTCTACTGAGCTCTGCAATGCTGTTTGCAAGTTTGTTCGTACTTTCATATCTCCCTATTGGTGTACCGCCAGGTTCGCTTGAAGCGATAACCGGCTCAAGATTTCCAAACATTCCATGTATATGAGTATTATTTCCGGTCGTATTACCTTTCGGTTTTACATCCTCATAATTTTCAAAAAAGCCGGTCGCATTTGTTTTTTGTTTCAAGTCTCTATTAATCGCAGCAAGAAACGGGTTAGTTTCAGTAGTATTTTCATTTGCTATACCACGGTCTTCGGATGTTTCAGCAAAATATCTGCCTGTCTGAGTTGCATTGTTCACAGGCATAAAATCTTCAAACTTCTTTTGAGTGTATCCACCAATTTCACTTTCAGTGTAGGCTAACTTCGCATCTTCATGTCTTCCAAGGCTCGGTTTGCCAGCTTCACTTACATCGTTGCCCGCTTGGAAAACTTCATGTGCAGAAGAAAATCTGTTTGTAGAATCAAACACCTCGTTTTGTTTGCTTCCTTCGGATGCTCGCGAAGAGTTCCTTTCATTCTCTACGTTGTTCGCTGGGTCAGAATTCTCATAAGTGGACCTCGGCGTTAGATTGAAAACTGTGTCAAAGCTCTTTTCCATAAATGGCGTTCTCGTGAGAGTAGGAGATTGGAGATCCCGAGTTAGAACAGAAATATTATAATCCGGTTCTGCTGGTGGAGCCCTATCAACTGTGC